AACAAAACAAAACGGATTGCAGTTCGTCTCACAAACGAAGAAGTCATTTGGCCTACAGAGTGTTCGTGAGCGAAAATTGGAAATGGGGGACATTCTTGTCCTTGGTCTTTTATTAGCATGTAAATATTTTCTACTCATACTTTTTTGAACTAAATACGAAGAAAAATTTTTTTTCTAAAATTGCACACTTAAGAATTGCCTAGAATTCATGTTTGGTCGTAGTTTGCTCCCGTTGAATGGCGTCAAACTCACGATCGTCAGGCATTCCGACACCATGGTTCCTAGCTTGCACTGTTACTACTCATTAAAAAGTAAAACGTTGTTCGAGTTAGAGAACTTTTACATCACCAAATCCTTAAAAACCTTTTTCTATTGTAAAAAATAAATAAATTTAAATATCCTCAGTATAATTCGTTCACAAGCGGATAAGAGCGATCGAAAAAGTTTACTTTTACTTGGTATGAACCAAGATAGAAATCTGGTGCTCATTGTGCCTTTTCGAAAGATGACGGCACGTGCTGCCTTTTTGTTTCAAAACCTACGACCGTCACAAATAGCTAAAATTTGAATAGAAAAACTGTGTAAAAAGCAAAAAATCCGAAAAAATAAGGACCAACTATGTTTTTAGATCCCAGAAATCGTCCAGAATTAAGAAAACACAACTTCCAGGGAAAATGATGAACTTGATTTTCCGACTTTTTTCACCCTGAAATGTTCCCTAACCTAAATTTTCGCCCTAGTGATTTCGCCAACACGCGTTCAAGATTCAGCCTAAAACTGATGACTCACTACCTTTACAGAAAAATAGCTCATCCGAGCACAAAGTCCCTCTCAAGAGAATTAGGCTGTTTGGCGCAACACTAGTTACGATCAATCAGGAATGGCGAGTGTAGACGTGTAATCGGTCAGTCAGCCCTTCTTTAAATGTCCTTTTAGGCAAATGAAAGGATGAAAGACCTTGCTAAGACAAAAGGAATAAAATTAACCCTACAAGCAACTATAACTCAGAGTGTAAAAAGTGAAAATGAATGTAAGGATGTTTTACAAATTGGTAAGAGACAAGGGGCCTTTGCCGCGCGGCAGCTCGGCGACCCAATGCATGTTCTTTGTTTCCCCATTCAACAATGAGCACACTTCTGAATATTTCTCTTGGCGTTAAAACATCCTCTTCATCCCTTAAAAAGCTTTTTTAACAGGTTGAAAATCGTAAAGCAATTCCGACGCAACTTCGATGGAAAACTCCGTAAATTTGATTTCGATCTGTTTTGCTGTGAATCATCAACAAATAGTCGACAAATGAAAATATCACCTCTGGGATTGAAAATTGGAATCATGTTAACAACGTGTCAGTCCGCCCTCAATTCAAGGCGAAGACATAACACGAGATACCACGTGTTCGAGTGGTGGCAATGTCGTGAATATCGGCAAGCTTACTTGAGGCACAAACAAATAAGAGCTCCTCATTAAACAAGTAGAGATTATTTGCATGTCACGTTACTTTGCCTTCAATTTTTTGTGTAGGCAACACAAGTTCTCACTTGGTCGATTAGTGATAGCATCCCCCTTCAATACTCAGACGGTTTGTGTTGGTCAATTTGTCGTAGATTTGATGGTGTTCCTACAGTTTTGCAGACACATCCTTCAATCGTTTTTCGCGCAACGTTCAATGTTTAGGCAAATTGGAATGTTTAGGAATGAGGTCCCTTTCCGAAGATTCGGGAAAGATCATGAGGAAACAAAACGTTTTCGCATATTCTCAACAATTTAGGAGGCTTGGTCTCTTTTCAGCTGACTCAGATATTTTAAACCTGGAGTTGGGAAGTTGTCGGGACAAAACAAGCGATGCAATAGTTTCGACTTTCAAGTTGATAAAATTGCGTATCCACTAATTGAAGGAGAATCTCTTCTCGGTTGACTCAGAGACTTTAACACAGCACGCAAAAAATTAAACTGCTGATTCAGCAATTTTGTAGTTAAAAAAAGTAACTGCCATGTTTCGATAGATAAACATGAGTCTGATGTGTTTGATGTAGAGATGCTATGTTATGCATAGATTTAAAAATTAAAAGGGCTGCTAATTCAACCACCCCCGACGTCAATTTGGTGGAAAAAACGTAGCGAAATCAAAAACAATGGGTAACTAAGGCTAAAAGCTCTTCAAACTGAACATCTGACTTCGTCGGCTTGAGTTACTCATTTTTGTTTTTTTTCCATCCTCAAAGAATAAATTACTTTTTATAAAAATACTTTCACTTTTTTCCTGGAACATTTGAACATGGGTCATTTACAATAAACTTGTTCGTATATAAATTAATTAAACCAAGCCAAGAGAATTAAAGATAGTCAGATAGGAGACCCAAAACTAATAGAAAATACAAAATGAGCAGAACAAGAAAAAACATAAGGAATCAAACCCAAAATATTACACACCAACTCGGTAACTCAAAAATGCTCAATTTTCATGAAAGAGTCAATTTTTAAAAAGGTCTTTGAAGTTAGCGCATCTGTTTCAACTTGGACTTTCAAAGTGTCCTTAAATACTTGTCTTTCGGCACCAAAGATCTTTTTCGTGTGTTAACTTTTTCAACCACTGTGTAGTTTTGCGTGTGTCTTGATTATTTTTATTTTTTCGAGTTGGCGTGTTTTCGTTCTCACTGATTCAATAATCTACCGAGAACTTTTCCGCAAAAGCAATCCCGCAAATCACGACCGATGAAACCTGTAAAATTTGCACTTAGAGCTCAGAATTGCTAATGATTGGCATTCTTATCAGAGACCATGCCAAAAAACTATTGGAAAACCAGGGATAAGGCGGAAATTTCTATGTTAAAAATGTCTGAAGAGCCAAGGACTTTTTCGATTCAAAAACGTGTATCTCTGCAAACAGCGAGATCACGAAAGGGAGTGGTACAGCTCGTTTTTGCCAATGACGGGCTCGGAAACTGTACCATTTGACAACGCTGCCACATGTGGAGCATAGTAAATAATTGACAGGATATGATTTTTACATTTTTCCAAGTAAATTAAATGAGAGGATTCAGTCAGAGGAAGGGTAAGTATGTGTAATGGAGATGTTGCATGTGTGAGGAATTTGCGATTTGTCAATTGATTCTTATATAAAAGTTCGTGAGAAACACGATGGTGCCACTGCTTTTCTCTGAAATCAACTCCCAAGCTCAATAAAAGTTCTCAAGTTAAGCCAAAATGGAGGGGATATCCCAAGTAGAGAGAAAATGTGTGTCTGCGCCATACTGCAATATCCACATTGTTGAAGACGCATACTTGACGACCTTGCCGAGAGATCCGTTGTGCGTCACCTTCCTCACCACGCGCCCATCGTCTCCGCCGTCGAAACCCCCCCCCGCCCCATCTTTCATATGCTTCCGAAGGAAGCATATGAAAGATCGTATCCATTAAATAATAACCACGTTTTTTACACAAGCTTCTGAGTATTGATCAACAATTGCGCAACTCACGCCTCTGCTGAGAGTGTCCTTATTTTGGAATGAAAATTGCGAAAGACCTGCTGTGATCTAATCAACCGAGGTCATCGAACAGCTCTGTCGAACCAACTATTTCCTAAGAAACCCCCCTACTATCTTTTCACATATCAATTTAACAGATTGGACAAGGATGAAAAGACTACCTATCCTTTTCTCACTCACAATTCAAATCACCATCGAGTAATTTCGAAGGTGGAGGGAGAATTACATGCGGCGGCGTCACTATAAAACCCCTGACCTCTTCGATATCTCTCACACTGTTATTTGCGTTTTCCGAACTTCAGTTTCGTTTGTTCCGTCACCAAGTTTTAGTGTCAATTCAACCACTTACCACGCTGCGGTTTCTTCCAGTCGGATCGTCTTCTTCCACTTACACCGTTTTCTTCCAGAAAATATTCTTCCTTTTCTTTAATCAGGTAAGAGTCTTAAATTATTTATTGTAAATTCATAAATTTTTTTATATTATCTTAATCATATGAAATATATTTTTTAAAAGAATCAATTTAAAAATCCACAAAAATTAGAAGAAAATTAATTAACCAAAAAATAATACTTTAAAATCAAATAAATGGAATGTTAATGTAACGAATTTAAATTTAGAAAAAGTATTTGTTTGAACAAATGTAAGGAAAAAATTCATTCTGTAAGAAAAAAAAAATAATATTTTTTTTATAAAAAAACTTTTAAAAAATCAAATTGACGGAATCTTCGAACAATGTAAAAACTAGAAAAGAATAAAATAATAACGATGATGATTATGATTTTGCTGATGGCGAATATGAAATTAATATGAGCAAAAAATACTTTTGATATGTTTGAAAAATTAAAGTGATTGAAAAAAATAAAAAATAAGACTCAATTTTCATCGGATTCGTTTTCTTCAGAATTACGTCTTGGCCTAAAAAACAAAAAAATTACTGATGTTACAGAAGAACGAGATAGGAAATTCAACACATTCTATTTGAGGAAAGCGTTTGCCCTCCACAAGGATTCCATCTCCGATCTAAGCACCTTTGCAAGGGCACCCGTTCACCTTTTTACTTTCTCGCAATCATCTCTGAAACTTAATCAAAGTGAGTAATGGCTTCATCCAATTCATCTAATACTGTTTGGTGTTCAGTATGTAAGGAATTCATCCCTAAACGTCCTCGCGATCGTCATGAATTAGGATTGAAACATGTTAAAGCAGCATTCGATACGCAGGAACCCATCAGATTAATAGAATCGGCGATAGATCAGAAATTGAGAACTTACTACTTAAAAAATTTCGTACCTACCTGTCTCGATTTGAAGGAATATTTACAATCAACAAAAAGACTTGTAATTAATTCGATACAATCTTGCATCAGACGAATGCGTGTGATTAAATGTAACTTAATTTTGTTTGTAAATTATGTGCGGCAAATACAAGAAGTTGAGGAGAGACAAATGTCCATTTTTAAAACAACACAAGAAAGTGTTTATCGAATCACCAATTTACCTCGAAAATTGAAAGCTATGCATCAGAGCCTGTTAGATGAGAGTGACGATTTTCATCAGAAAGGATCCGGTTGGGTAGTTGAATCAATCGAAGGTCTAGAATTGCGAGTTTCAATGTATCAACCTTTGACCGGGTCTACTTTTATACCATTACCGTTTAAATCCATTTACATTGTTAACTGTCAAAATACGGATCAAAAATGTTTCATGTACGCCTGTTTGGCTAAAAAATTACCTGTTGGTACAACTCATAAGTACCTACCAAATACTTATAGAAAATATCTCGATAGCTACGATTTTTCCTGTTTGACTTTTCCAGTGTCTCTAAAAGATATCGGTAGATTTGAAAGAGCTAATAATGTGAGTGTATCCGTATATGGGATCCCTGGGTTTCCATATACAATTAAGAAAACAGCAGAAGAGAAAGAGGGAACTTACTATCCCGATTTTGAGGAAGATGAGGAGAGTTTTAATCAGGAAGAAGAGGAGGAGGAGGAGGAGGAGGAGTATCCAATTTGTCATCCGAACTCTAAAAAAAAACCACCGCGTGTATTTCCCTTAAGAGTACCCGATCGAATTGAGGAAGACCACATCGATCTCCTTTACATAACGAATGAGGAGACGTCTCATTATTGTGCGATCACTAATCTTGAGGGGTTAGTACGGAGTCAGCTAACAACGAATACGAAGAAAATATTCATGTGCAGACGTTGTTTCGCTCGATATTACAACCAGGAAAAATTGAACCAACATCTAGCTTTATGTCTAAAATTTAAACCGATCCGCCCAATCATAAATTTTGGTTCGGATCGAATATTAAGATTTACAGCTTTAAAGAAAGCTATGGTTCATCAATACGTAATTTTTGCGGATTTTGAATGCTATCTACCGGAAGTTAAATCGAATCCTAATTTTCTTAGTTCCCGAGTTTATCAGAGACATGATCCGATGTCTTACGCATATATAATGGTGTCTTCTGATCCTTTGTATAATATGAAGACTCCTAAATTGTATAGAGGAGAGAGTGCTAATATCCATTTTGTGGACGAGATAATGAGTATCGCGAGTGATTTAGCTGGAGATCATAATTTCGGAGATGAGATCAGAATGACCGAAGAAAATATTAGACAGCATGAGAATGCCACTAGTTGCGCCATGTGCGATAGGGACTTCGACGAAGTTTTGCAGAGGGTTCGCGATCATAATCATCAATACGTATCGCCGGACGCTCCCAATTTTCGAGCAACACTGTGCGTTGTGTGTAACTTAAATTATTCTCATCCGAAATCTCTGATAGTCGGTATCCACAATTTTGAACATTATGACGTGCACCCGGTGATTTTAGCTTTAGAGGGGCTTGAAAATCGGGTGACCATTATACCGTCAACCGAAGAGAGCTATTTGAGTGTTACCATTCAAATGGAGAACAGATTCAAGATAGTGTTCATGGATACCATGCGACATTTATCAGCTTCCCTCGATAGACTGGTATCTTCGATCCCCGAAAAAGCTTTAATTTACACTCGTCGATTGTGCCAATCGGAGGAGCAGTTCAGCATTGTCAAACGAAAGGGTGTCTTTTGTTACGATTATGTTACCGATACTACTAAGTTAGAAGATACTTCTCCACCTTCAAAGGAGGCGTTTTTCAGTAGGCTACAGAATAGACCCATTTCAGACGAGGATTATAAAAGATTTTGTGATACTTGGAGAGTTTTCGGATTCGCAAATTTGGGCGAATACGCTGACTTCTATTTGCGTCTCGACGTCAGTCAACTTTGTGACGTGTTTCAAGAGTTCCGAAAATTCTGCATGAAAAACTACGGTCTTGATTGTGTCAATTACCTTACTTTACCCAGTTTCGCGTTTGACGCGTTCCTAAAAATTACTCGAGCTGAAATCGAATTGTTTACCGATATCGATATGATAAATCTAATCAATTCGGCAATTAGAGGTGGGATTTCACAATGTTCCTTGCGACATGTAGTTGCCGATAACCCACTCATTCCGGATGAAACGGGAAACGTCAACGCTCAAAATGGAAAAGGATCGAGGAGTACATACATTCAATATTTGGATGTTACAGCCCTATACGCGTTTACAATGTGCAAACCCCTCCCTTACGCTGATTATCGTTGGTTGAGTTCAGAAGAGTTGATGAAACTGAGCTCGATAGAGAACGGACAACCGATGATAATGACCATCCCGAACGATGGACCTTACGGTTTCATCCTCGTCGTCGATTTAATTTACCCCGAAAATCTTCACGATTACCATTCTGATCTCCCGTTCTGTTGCGAAAATAAAAAACCCCCTTGTCGCGGATCGAAGACTCGGAAACTGCTGTTGACTCTTGACGATAAATCCGATTACGTAATTCATTTCGCTATCTTAAAACAAGCGCTGGCTAACGGGCTCGTCTTAAAGAGGATGAGTAAAGGTATTTATTTCAAACAGAAACCTTTCCTGAAGCCGTTTATAGAACTGAACGCGAGACTCAGAAAAGAGGCACAGGGTAATAAATTTGCACAAGATACGCTGAAATTGATCTCTAACGCTTGTTATGGAAAATTTTTAGAGGACCCTCTTAAAAGACAAAATATAGTATTGGGAACGAACGAACGACAGATCATGCGAAACGTGTCTCGTCCCGACTTCCTTGATCGAACGATTTTTGCCGAGGAGCTTGTCGCTATAAAACTGGCGAAAACCCGCGTCAAATTCAACCGACCCATGATTGTCGGATTCTCCGTCTTAGAACTCAGCAAATATCATATGTATGATTTTTATTACAACAAGCTCCTTAAGCAGTATCGAAGGGATCAAGTGTCCATTCTTTACATTGACACAGATTCATACATTGTTGCCATTTTTACGGAAGATAGATACAATGATATGCTCCACCACTTGGAATTATACGACACTTCGAATTTTCCCATCGATCATCCTTGCTTTTCTGAAGCGAATCTAAAAGTCATGGGGACATTCAAAGATGAAACTGGTGGGGAGCCTATAGTTGAATTTGTTGGTCTCAAAAGTAAGCTTTATGCATATCGGACGGCAACAATGGTTGACAAGAGGGCGAAAGGTGTCCAGAAGTCGGTGGTTAAAGACACGATATCTTTCGAACATTTTTTGAGAAGTCTCTATGGTAACGAAACATTCAAGCGCGCCACTCGAACATTCCGCTCAGAGAATCATATTATCCGCTCTGTCGAGACTGTGAAAGTCGCAGTTTCTAGCAAGGATGATAAACGGAAAATTTTACAAGGGAACGTAGTATCTCTACCGTGGGGTCATTATAGAATTCAACAACACGAGAATCTCATGAAGCGAGTATGTGCAGAGATCCGAAACTTCGACAAAAGACTACTTTTTCCGATAGAGACAATGAACACCTCGAGTTTTAGTGAACGTACTGTTCACGATCTTTCATCATCGTCCGTTTCGAGTTCCGATCACGATTGTGTTAGTGAGGAGGAAACAGGTGTATTCTCTTCTGAAGACGAGTCCCTCATTTCGAGATCCGATCGAAGGGGAACGATTAAACTTCCATCGTCATCGGATTCGGATACGGAGGATACCATGCGGGGAGATGAGGAACCAGAGTCGAAAAGAACGAGAATTTCTTATGATCCCACAGCTCATTCTAGTAAAGATCCGAGGTTTTTATGAGAGGAAATAAAAAAACTTGGTTACTTTTTCGCTTTTTTTCATTTGCAGATACTTGCGGACTCAGAATATACATATATTTATGAGTGACAACGTTGGAGAGAGAAAATACGCGAGAGTTGAGATCATAGGAGACGTCGAAGTGCGGAACCGACTTATTCTGAGAGAGGCGTAGAATCGAGATGGAGCAAGTCATGCTGAAATTCGTTCGTCTCAGCGATCGTGCCTTCCTACCATCGTGGGGGTCACCGGAAGCGGTTGGCCTTGATCTTTTGAGTGCCTATGAATATGTTATCCCACCGTTCACCACGATCAAGATCGAAACCGATCTTGCGTTAGAATCATTCCCTCCTGAGTGTTACGGCAGGATCGCCCCTAGGTCCGGTCTCGCGTTGAGAGGTATCAACGTGAATGCCGGAGTCATCGACCCTGATTACAGAGGCCCTATCGGGGTAGTCCTATACAATCAAACACCGAATCAAACATTCATAATTAAACCGGGTGATAAAATCGCGCAATTTATATGTGAAAAGGCCTTGTTCCCTCAATCCGTACAAATTAAGTGGAGCAACGGTGGCTTGGGTATAGTTATCGATCGACAAAGTTCTGTTGCTACTCCTCATCGAGGAGTTTCAGGTTTCGGTTCGACCGGAGTCTAACAACATTCTAATTTAACTCCCCTTTTGTTGCAGCGTGTTCTGGATTTTGACCGATTGGAAAACTCCACCCTTCCCGCAACTTACTTAAGCTTATTTTCACTAAAATTAATCATTGTTAAAAAAAAACGTAATGGATGTAGAGATGCAGAAATACGAGGAGGAGATAAAAGCAATCAGACTTAAACAATTTTATGATTTCGAAAAAATTTTTTTCAAAGCACAAAAAAGAGAACAAAAACGTTTGTCGAGGCAACCGAAGGATCCGTATCTGATAACTCCGAGAGGTGCAGAATGGATCATGGAGGAGTATAATTTATTAAAATTCGATCGACCAAGAAATAAAATCATCACCCTCGTGTGGCATTCGCATCATGCCGATGGACACTTCGGTTCTTGTATGAATCCGTATAATTGTCGATACTGTTACAAAACAATGGAGGCTATGATGAGCAACGGATTGTTACCAAGTTGGTTATCCTTTCACAAGGATGATTCTTCAATTAAGGATTACCCTGTTGCTCATCGAGATCCCCAACGTTGCTACACATGTTATCAGCAGTACTGTTTGATGAAATTGGACGTTTACCCTTTCAAGGAAGACAAATATGTCCACCCTGAATTCCCCTTCAAGGGTGAATTCCCGTCCCCTTCATAATTACCCATTCCTATGATTGTAAATTATATCTCTAACATTAGAATTATTGAACTAAATATAGAAAATATTTCACAGATACGTTCCCGCCCCCCTCTTTGAGAGTTCACGGATAAATCGGCATCCATCACAAATGGAGGCATTTAACAGTGTCTACAGAAGGATACAACCCTCACCCGTTTCATCCGGGGATTTGGTGATCGGGGAAAGATATCCAATCATCAAAATTGAAAAAAAAAACAAACGGTCCCGTGCTTACGGATCGAATCTTAATGCCATAATAGATTTCGGAGGATTCCCGAGGATATTACAGCTCCCCTTGCATTTTACGCGCGCGATGGGTGATCAATTTTTTGATGATATTAATAAGACCTCATCGCGCGCGTACGATCTGATCCGTCTAGAGGTAGCCCCTCGCTCCTTCAAATTTGAAATAATAAATACGAACACAATTTACCTTCCCGATTAGAAGTTTAATTTGGGTTATTTGTTTAATTGATGTGTTACAGAAATGGAGGCATTTAACAAAGTAGAGCTGTCGACCCCAGTAGTGGAATCCATCCACGCGCGGGATCTTGAGCTGGGGGTCAGATACCCTCTTCAGAAGTTGGAAAAAACATTTACAAAATACGGTGACGCCATTCTGGCGTTCATTACCATCTCGTCAGAAACACGAAAGTTGTTTCTCCCCAAACCGTACGTCAAATCTATGACGGAGGAAAATATTAACGAGATAAATGTGGGGAAATTCGACATAATCTGCGTGTCGAGTGTCCAGAACAGCTTTAAGTTTGAGGTCCAACCGAGCGAGTAATCTTGATATCGAATAGATTCCGATGTTCTCCAGATCTGTATGTCAAAAGAGGGATGTTCAATAAAAAATAAAAAAAAAAATATGTAGATTGACCATCGTTCCAAGTAGACTGAATCGTTGTCTGAATCGTGCGAGAATCAGCGCTATCCAGATGCATACTGATTGTTTTCGATTTCTCCCCATCGTCGAATCGAGCATTCAATTCCGAGTGGAAAGTCTGCCCGAACGGACGTGTGTGTTTTGTTTGAAGAGAATGAGTTGTTATCTGGAAGTGCGAGGTTTTCACTTGCGTAGAGGTTACGTGTTTAAAGAAGTGGCCGCGGTGGGATGTGACGGTTCTACTATTCACACATGGGTGTTCCGACCACCGCAGCCATGGACGAGTCTGACTTATGAAGATAAATCATCGGTCAGACGAAGTGAAATCGGTCTCGCTTGGAACGATGGAACGGTTCCCCATTCATCAGTGGAGAGAGTCTTCGAGATATTGGCTAGACAGTATACGGTGTGGGTTGTCGGATCACAAACCACCCGGGATTTAATTTTCCCCTTAAAATCTCTCAATGTTCACATTGAAGTTTCCCCAGTCGATGTAACGTTAGGATCACGTACACCTACGAGATGCGTGTACGATCATGAGAACTGCGCTCTCACATCGGCTGCGGATATGTTGTCCGACGATTCACTACCGCTCAACGAGTGATCTTTTTACCTACAATCTGTTTCAGCTAGACTGATATGAATAACACCCTGGAAACTCTCTCTTGCACTGCAACCGTCTCTATAGAATCATGGGAACTCCTCCACAAAATGAAAACTCACGATTTAAATCTAATAGTCAAAATAAATTTTATGAAAAAAATTATGTTAATGTTTTTCGGAACGATCGATTATTTTAATGTAAATTCTCCTCAAAATCCCACCGATCAAAGCAGACCTGATCACCATATCCCCACAAAGAAATGGTTGAACTTTTTTGAAAGCATAATGCATCCGCACGATTTTTGTATATTTTTAACGATTCTCGATTTTTTTGCTCCTGAGAGATGGGACCGTGTGTTCGACGAACGAACATTTCAATTCCAAAAATTTGTAAAACACCAGATTATGTTAAGAAAACTCCCCGACTATCCATATCAGAGCTACGAGGATATCGTGGATTATGCTCCTTGGACCGATGGACTTTTCGAAAATCCTGGTAAGACATTCGGTACTTATGTAAGCGAGTTGAGGAAAGAGCCATGGTTTATAGAGGTGCGAAACGCTCTCTTCGCGACGGAGGAGAACGTCCCTCGCGATACATATTTTTATGAGACCACCAGTAATATTCGTCAATTACGAAAGCATGCCAGTTGTTATATGAGAAAGTTGAAGAGGGCAGCGCGAACAAGGTTTTCTCCTCGATATCCTCAACCCCCACTCCATTGCAATTTCAGCCTCCCGTGGACATACAGATCGTAGGAGAACTTGATTGTATCCCTCTAGATTTAAGATAAAATATTGTATCTTTATCCTGTAACCGATTAACCGATTTTTAGATTTAAGAAAAAAAATGTAACCGTTCTACTTATCTTTTTAACAGTTTAATGCCTCAATTAACCTTGTAAATCCTAACCGATTTTAGATCTAAGAAAAAAAAAATGTAACCGTTCTACTTAGCTTTCTAACAGTTTTAATACTCCTATTAATCTTGTGTACTCGTAAGAACTCTTATTAATAAAAACATTTTATATTGCAACTGAAAAAATTCCTATCGTTCCCATCATTTTCATCTGGTTATCTCGTTGGTTCTTGGGGGTACCTTTTGGGGATTTGGAAATGGGAAGGGAAAGGGTTTATCTATCTAATACTTGTGGGAAAAAAATAAGAAAGAAAAAAAAAAAAAAAAAAAAAAAACTGAAAAAAGCCGAGATAGATGTTCGCCTACTTGCGATCTCCTTCACTCTCGTCGAAATTCGCGAGTCGCGAATCTTTGCGCATCCACCAACCCCCTTCCCCACCCTTAAATCAAGGGATGATCGACGATGGACGATCGACGATCGACGTTGAACGATCGACGTTGAACGATCGACGTTGAACGATCGACGTTCGACGATCGACGTTTAACGATCGACGTTCGACGATCGACGTTTAACGATCGACGTCCGCCCGTCCGGTGTCCGATCCCTGCCAACCCCGGTAGGGAAAATTTTTTTTTTGGGGAGATACAGAGAAAGATCGGGATCCCGCTTCACGGTTTCCCTTCTTGTAAGTTTTGTATACATATATTTTCTTCTTCTTTTTTTTATTAGCGAATCTTTTTTACAATGCCCGACAATGATTGATAGGTGAACATCAAATCGTGAACGAGGATAGCGTAAGCCGCGGTGCCAGCGGGGAAATTCGCGTGAGTCTCCAGCTCGATCTGAATGTCCAGAGGTCCGGGTTTCAAGCTCTCCTCGTAAAGACATCTCATCACGAACATGGGATTGTCCGTTTTGAACTCCTCCAACGAGAGGGCGGGTTCGCATAGTTTCTCTCCGTGCGAGAAGTCCGTGATGAAGCGGAGATAGTTCTGGTAAAAATTGAGGTACCGGTTCTTGTCGAAGTTCTCGTTGAAATTCTCGTACGGTAGAGCGACGCTGTTGAGATGGACCCTGAACGAGCGGAGGTTCACGTGGTCGAATTTGCTCGCATCGGATTCCTCGTTGTCCGAACGATTCGTTTGAAACAGGATGATTATGTAAGCGGGGGCCTCGACGTTGGTGGTGGTCATCAATTTCCAAGTTTCCTTACTGTTCAGCGGTAGCTGGGGATAAACATGGGTCTCGTAACTACGAAACGCTATCGGGAACGAGGCGTTGGATTTCACCTTGTCGAGGATACGCTTCTCCGAAGCTAAATTATATTTCATCTGCGGCATCTGCCATTGAACTTTGGTCAAGGTAAGTAGAACGCTTTCTTTATCGGCCCCCGAGGTGAAGCGATACGCGTCCTTGTTCGTTCTGGAGCGGACAAGAACGAGTTCTTGTCGCACGCGGATCAACGGCTCCTTGAAATCTGCGAATACACCGAGGAGCATGTCCAAAGGTATGAGAGCCGAGAAAGTTTTACTACCGCCATGAATCAGAGGAGCGTTCCAACCGGCGAGTTTGAGAGCGCTCGTTTCTTCCTTGGTGCGCGTGAGCAGGATCATAGCCGTGCTCGTCAGCCCCACTTTACGGGTCCTATCGATTTCGACACCGCTCACCTCGTAGCGTATCTGGTCGAAGAGAAACGCGATGGCGTTGTTCGAGAGATCGCATACCGCTCCGGTTGCTCCGGCCGTTTTCGGAGTGAACGTCATCGATCCCTCCACGTACAGCTTCGAATCGCCCGGTTGCGTGATGAGATCCTGACTGTTGACGGGGATCCGTATCTCATCGTTGTTGTTGAAAGTTGCGTTGTACGGTTGATACGTGTGAAACTGGTAATAGTTTACGTCCGCCGTGATGACCATCGTCTATAACCGTGAACCCTAATGTTTGCAAGATTTTCCTATTTCGAGGAGTCAAACGCTTCCGCTGGGAACTGCGGTTCACCGCAAGGCAGGTTGATCTATTTATACTCTTGAATTTACCCATCGGATTTTATGTGTAAGCGCACGGTTACTTCCTCGCCGGAAAAATCCACGGGTCTCCCCTGCTGGTCGTTTATATTTATACAGAGTCGATCGATGGTGCTCGTATTGATACGAGTGTAAATAACCGTACGCGGAGAGAGGGCCATCATAAACCCGGGTGGAACTCGGGGTGTGAAAGCGAAAATCGTATGAGCCACTTGCCCGTTGATGTAACTCCCGGTAGCGATATTGCATTCGACGCAGATCATATTCACGTTCATTATGTTCACGGGTAGATCGGATCGATGCCAAACCCCCGCTTCCAGGATCCGAGGACTGAAACCCAGGAACGCACCGATAGAATCCGGTTTCGTAAAATCGATGGCGTGCTTGCATTTGATCTCGCATTGTAGGGTGTTGTTGTTCGCCTTTAACTCGACATCGTCTTTACCTAGCTTACCCTTCAGAAACGCTTCAATTGCCGTCACTTCATACGAGCCTTTCGGTATGACGATCTCGGATCCGTTGCCGTAGTAAAATTTCTGATTGGACGAATCCACGTTCGGTATGGCGTTGTAAGCGGCGAAATCGATCAGAGCTATGAAGTGATTTTTCCGCGGATCGAGGGTGAGCGGTGGTGAGAAACTGCATTCCATCACGCTCCCGCGAGCCGTCAGCACAAGCGTCTCGCTCATTTGCTTTCTATTTAACGTGTCTTCCTTTTCTAACGAGACGATCGAGTCGCAGCGGTCGCTTTTATAAGAAATTTCAAACATAAATGCCCGCAGTTGCTCGTGCCGAACGTCTGCTCGGGCGTGTAATTGTATTCGATCGAGCTACCGGCGAAGTATCTTACGAGCTCTACAGGAGGCGGGAGATCGCCGAAGCTATCGTAATAGAGAACTCGATTGCCGGATTTGAAGTAGGCTACCCAGTGGGTGCCCGGACCGGCGCTCGTGTCCAAATTAACGATGGCGGACTCGCGCACGCGAGGTCGTTTGCGAGCGAACGAGTCGCGCAGGAACACGCCTCGGAAATATGGCACGTGTAGTTCTCTAGCCGCTCTCCGTAGCTCGATGTCGGATAAGGGTCCGCGCGGTAGCTCTCCGATCAGTTTAAACGATCGGATCGAGAGCCAACGTGTAGACCGTAACCGGTTTTGTACGGACGCAGGTAAAGACCCTGTCCTAGTTTGAGATTCTTCGTTCTCTTGCCTATGACGGACCGTATTTTCTTGACTGCGGGTCCGACGGATCTCGGCGGCAATCCGACCTTCGTGAGGATAGAGCGGACGCTTCCCCCACTCGTCGGAATCGGTATGATTCGGGGCACCGTTCGCTTCTTGCCTCTCGCCTTGCCGCGGCGAGAGCGCTTCTTCCCAAGACCTGCCCCGCTCTTCGCGGCTGCCCTGCTCCGTTTGGGTTTTCGACCGCGACGCTTACCGCATCCTGCTCCCATCTTGGCTTTGAGCTTCATAGCGTTCGTGACCGCGTACGCTGCTGCTTTTTCACCCCAAGAGGAATCGCTAGCTTTCACCCGTTCCCAAGCTCTGTCCGCGAGCTCTAAATCCGCTTTGTTTCGATTAACCGTGTCAGTAAATCGATCGTAGGCAATGTCGTGGGATTTACAAGCCTCGTCCAAAGGGTTGATTCCGGGATCACCCCTTGCGAGACGCTCCTTTAACTTCGTGCCCGGTCCGCAGTACCTGTACCCTCCGGGCAGATGGGCTTCGAAAGGAAGTAGATCGATGAGTTTATTGACAAGTCCGCGTCCGATCCGTTTACTTTTCGGACTCATACTAAGCTCAACGCCTCTCCCCAACTGTCCCTATATATATAAAGTTTGCGTCGAGTCCCAGACGAGCGAGAGATCAAGTATGAAACTCGTGCCGCAGCGGAAGCGTCTCAAAATCGAAAGCATGGATACGATAGGCGAGCAGAAAAAATCCGAACGACGGCACAGCACACTCCTACCAGACACTATTCGATGCATAGTTGCCGGACCTTCGAACTGTGGGAAAACGAACGTTGTCATGTCTCTGCTACTCAATCCGAACGGTTTGCGATTCCGTAATATTTACCTTTACACCAAGACCCCTTTCCAACCGAAATACGTGACGCTAGGTAAAATACTTGAAAAAATCCCGCGCATAGGATATCACGTGTATTCGGACAACGCGGATATCGTTCAACCTCATGATGCCAAACCGGATTCTATTTTCATTTTTGACGATGTAGCATGCGATAAGCAAAACGCGATTCGATCTTATTTCAGCATGGGACGTCACAGCTCGGTCGATTGCTTCTATCTCTGCCAAACATACAGTCGGATCCCTAAACAACTCATACGCGACAACGCTAACCTCCTGATTCTGTTCAGGCAGGATCAATCCAATCTACGACACGTTTACGAGGAACACGTCAACACGGATATGACCCTGACAGAATTCAAAGAGATGTGCTCGCTCTGTTGGAACGGGGACAAGTATGGATTCTTGGTCGTCGATAAAGACAGCGATATCGATGACGGTAGATACAGAAAAGGATTCGATACCTATATAAGAAAATGAGGCAACCGTGCCCAGTTCAAAATCGTGAATCAACATGGAGCATTACGACAGCATCATCCGAGCGCGTGAAGTAATCAAGAAAAAGTTCAACGATCTTCGACGCGGTGAAACCGAGACGGCCGAGGTGCTCGAGAGAGTTCTGCGACCTGTGTCCGAGCCTCTCAAGGAAATCGTGCGCTCGTCGAGCAAACAAGTCTCCCCACCACCATCTTTCCTCCCATCGTCGTTCGATGACGATAACAAAACCAACGTTAAGCAAGAACTCGCCGACCGCGGAGCTCATGATGATCATCTCAGTGAGGTAAACGATTACGTTGGGTCCAATTTCGGTCCCCGCGTCGGTCCCTACTTCCACGATATGATCGTTCGCGGCTCCGACTTCGATCACACTTACGGGGTCAGAATAGGTCGATCGGGTAATTGGTGTATAGGTAAAGAACCGATTTACTTTCTGAAAGACGACACTTTCAGGATCGCGGGGGAGACTTTCTCACCTACTCCCGGGTTATTGGAGCTCGTTTTCAAAAAAGCGCCCGCTGGTTACAGCGATGGGGATTTGCAAAAGTATAAAAGGATCCTGCAACTGACGAACGCTCACAGAAAAGACAACAAACCCGGCGGAAAACTAATCAGTGGAAGATCCAATAAGTATCACGACATAATTAGGGAGCTTTTCCCCCCGAAATCGTCAAAGAAGAAGGGGAGCGGTCTCTTCTTACCGAACACTCAGAAATCGTACGTGTATTGGGACGATCCTAACGAGCTTGTAGAGCGTTTGGATGTATTGATCGCGTCGAAAAAAGCCGGGAACACGGGTTTGGAGCGTGAAATATTGAGCATTATCACCGAACTGAAAGAGGCGAGATGTATCGAATGAGAGCGGTGGCCGGGACCCTGACCAGCGGAGGGTCGACTACGACGCGTGTGTTGGAGGATGATCATTTTCGTTCGGTATCATCCGACCCTTCGAGCGAGAGTCACCCGGTTACGAGCGGAGAGAACGTCCAGTTCCCTTCCACAATCCTCGATCCAATCGCAACCGCGATGAATGCGAATGAGCCCCGTCTATCGCGTCTGGAAACGATCGCGGATTCGTTGGAAAAACTAACATTCAACCTGGACACTTCTCTGAACGATAAAATGAACGATCTCGCGAAAAAGCTGACGGTAGTCGAAGAGGAGAATAAAATACTCAAAAACATGCTCGTATCGAACAAATCCCTCGAAAATCGGATGGCGGATAGAGTGTCTCGTTTGGAAACGAATGAAAACCGGATCATCGCTCTTGAGACTCATTTGCGGAATAATGACGGTTCGACAGGTTCCGTTGCAGATCTCAAGAGGCTAGTCGCTTCTATCGAAAGAGATCAATCCGATCTCAAAGTGTCGATAGAGGCGATTCGAACATCGTTGGAAAAGATCGAGGGGGAGGCTTCGAAGCGATCGAGTGGGCTCGAGAACCGAATCGAAAATGTAGACGGTAGAGTCTCCGCTTCTATGAAAGTAATGGACACGAATGTCGTATTACTACAGGCGGAAACTTCGATTTTCCAACAGAAAATGTCCTATTTGGAACAAAGTTTGAAATCGATGGATTCTAAACCTCGCTTGGATTCTTTCGAAGATAGAATCAAAGTTTTGGACGGTGCGATGACAGCTCGCATGGAGAGTTTAGAGGAGAAGACGTCGGAACTGTCCGGAGAAAACGTTAAGTTTGCTGCGGCTATGGAAAACTTGAAGGTCATCGCTGCAGAACGACTATCTCGTCTGGAAACGTTGGAAAATCAATCAGGTTCCTTCGCTTCGATAACAGATGAAATCTCTGCAATTCGCAGTGATATTTCGGTTCACGAGGAAACGTTGACTGCACTTACAGAGATGGTAAAATCATCGGATCCGAACCCCCGTTTGGATGCTCTCGAATCTTCCGTTAAATCTCTAGAGACAAAATCAACTGAAAAAGATGACGAACAGAGTAGAAAAATCTCAAGTATAGAAGAAGACATCTCGCGTCTGAAATTCAGTGTCGATTCCCTCAACAAGGACGATCGTGTTTCTCGTTTGACTGAGGCGATCGGAACATCGGATGCTTCCGAGACTGTTCCGTCAACGTCGATATCGTTAGCGAATGATGAAATTACGGCTCTCAAAGAAGATATCCGGTCTTTGGCAGGAAAAGTGGAAGGTTTGATCGAACAGTTTTCAATTTTGAACTCTGTAGAGGGTATACATGGAGAGATCAATAGCATACGAGGATCGATGACGGAAATGGACAAGAAAATCTCCGCTTTACAGGTGGAAAATCTTCTGATCGAAACGGATCTGTCAT